CGGGGGTGCTGGTGCCTATCCTGGCTGTCTCCGGGCAGTAGGTGGGGGACACCCTGAACTGGCTGCCAGCCAATCCCAGGGCACACAGAAACGAACAACCATTCGCACTCACACTCACACCTAGGGACAATTTGGGAGTGTTCAATCAGCCTGCCATGCATGTTTTTGGAATGTGGGATTAAACCGGACTACCCGGAGAAAACCCACGCAAACTCCACACAGGAAGGCCAGAGCTGGAATTGAACCTGGTACCTCTGCACTGTGAAGTTGACATGCTAACCACTCGACTACCGGGCCACCCTTATATGTATATTTTTTGTGAATCCAACAAAATGTCAGTATAATAAGCCTCCGAATGTATACTTTTAAATAATGTTATAATACTCACCATTAATGTGAATGGTTTTCCGTTCCTCATGATTGCTAAAGATCCAGCAAAACTAGCGGAATTATAGTCAGCTTGCCGGGTCCATATGCGGAGTTGCCGCTGGCGAGCTTGCACCCTGCTCAGGAGCTTGCATGCTTCCTTTCTACTGTCTCCCGCAGCGTATTTTGATGCGAACGTAACATGGCGCATGTCAAAGTGCCGCTTTAGATTCGACTGTTTCATCGATGGTATTTTGTCATTGCAAATTAGACACACTGGAGAAACTGTTCCCTCCACAAAGGCAAATCCTTCAGTCCATTCGTCCTGAAGTGTACCATACTCTTTCTTTCTTTTCGCCATTATATTCGTTGAAGGATTAGCTTTGAGCTAATGACCGAGCAGGCTGATTCAGAAGGGGGCGTTTACCTGTTTCCCCAGTAACGGCCAACGTAGGCCAGTATCATCCAATTAAAATTTCTCCTGCCGCCAACTGCAGCAAGAGAACGCGAGCAGTGAAAAATCTATGGATGGATTAAACAAGTGAGAATATTTTGTTTTATCTGCGTGCTCGATGCAATCATCAAAAGAGCCACATCTGGTTCGCGAGCCGTAGGTTCCCGACCCCTGATTTAGAGTGTTCCATTAACCTGCCATGCATGTTTTTGGGCTGTCAGAGGAAATCGAAGTACCCGGAGTGAAGGAATAATTGATAAAACATTTTTTATTATGCTTTATTATACATTTAATGGTTGCTGTGTAGAGTTTTCTTGGTTTGGTGTGAAGAAATGTTTGCAGAGTTGACTGAGAAATGTCACCTGGCTCCCAGCTGGTCACCAAAGATAACAAGACCCAAGAGAGAAGTGCTTATTCTGCTCGACTGTACTGAAATGTCTATCTCTGACTTTGTTGGAACTTTCCACCAATATTGTGTGTGTACTTTCTTCTGATAAACCTGATACCAAAATGAATAAAAAGAGAGGGTTTAGGAGAGGCTGCTTAGTATAGCTGTGGGAATTGTATGTGCGCAGTCCTCTTCTATTCTCCTTGCAAGCGAAAACAACATACAGATGTCTTCCCTGATTTTTTGCGTAAGTGCATAAATGTTATTGGAGCAATTAACCTGACACGGAGAAAACCCACACAGACATGGGGGGGAAGATGCAAACCCCCACACAGGAGGGCCGAAGTCGGAATCGAACCATGCACCTCTTCACTGTGAGGCCGACGTGCTAACCAGTCGAGCACCAGGCTGTTATTTCTGGTCCATTTTGCTTTAAAAAAAAAGGAAAATAAAGTATGTCGTCATCACACATTGCCATAATTTAGATAACACTCCGAACAATCTCAGGTCAAATACAGCTGCCTGCGAGCCTCCAAAGTGCATTCAATGAAAAGCTCTTCGTCCGGAAATCCTGATGGGCTACTCACCAAGATTTATGTGCACATGTATAAGTGTGCCCATATCATTCTCTGAAAATATTCGACCCAAAGTCGCAATATTTTTAATTTTATGAAAGTTTTAAAAAACATTACTTCATCTGCGTCCTCAAAAACAAACATTCACATCACTTAGGCTGGATTGCACCAACAACTTTAATTTCAAACCTAGATGAAATAATGGTTGAAGTTTAAATTCTTTTGCAATTCTATACAATGCATCTTTATTTATATCGCACTTTCACAAGCGCCAGCCACCGCCTCTATAAAGCTAAATTACACCAACAAGGTTTCATTTTAAAACGGACTTAAATAATGGTTTCAGTTAAAATTCTGTTGCACCAAACTTGAAACATAGTTTAAAATAAAACAGATTAAATTTCAACCTCATTATAAACTCCGCTTTGATTTGTACTCTTAAAACAAGTATCAATTTAATTCTCTTGCACCAGAACTTTAAACTCCGGTTGAAACTGTGATGGAGAATTCATTTTAACCTGGCAGTTGGGATGGTTTAACTTTAACAATGGCTGCATTTTGTAGGTGTATAAAGCAAAAATAATGACATTTCTCGAAGAAAAGGAAGGTCCAATCCTTTTGAATTTTATGATGAAAAGGAATTTTTGGTGGGATAACAGTTTTGAGGTTGGACAGGAGTAGTGGATCAACTGTCTCACATGGCAGTGAAAGAAATGCAGCTGCCCCACTGAGGCTACAACTACGGCTTTTGTTTTTAATCTTTTCCACCAAGCTTCAATTGAGCAATGTCCCTTTTCTCTCTAACTCTGGTTCATCTGTTATAACGAACGACAGGCAGTTGCTGCCAAACCAGCTTTTTTTATATTTACCAAATGTTGTCTGTTTTATTTTCTTTTATTTGTTTCATTAATTTGTTCAGCAAGTTGTTTTCATAAAAAAACGTATCGAGTTAACAAGTAATGCTAAGCGAACGTTTTTGCTAGCTACCGACAATGTAAGGCCAAACCCGTGTGTGTGTGTGTGTGTGTGTGTGTGTGTGTGTGTGTGTGTGTGTGTGTGTGTGCATCCGGCAAATATACATTTAATTACACAATCAATTATTCATTTTAATTTCAATACCTACAATCATCCTTATAAATCAGTTTGAACTCATCTTAAATGCAGTTAAAATTAGTTTGACAACACTTAGGTTAATTTTAAGTGGTGCAACAACTCTTTAATTTTAAAACCGGATGAACTAATTTTAAACTTGGTTTTACTGATCCCCGATGAAAGCTAATCCTAGATTATATTAAACCTTGTTGGTGCACCCCATCCTAAATGTCCTTTTTTCTCTTTCTCAGAGGAATGTATGAAACCTGAGATAGTTAAGAGTGCTACCTAATTCATTGGCAATAGTTGAAGCATGCAAGTGATTTAGTCAACTGTTCAAAATTGGTCAAATAGTGCTGCGCAGGGTATGTCATTATTTTGAGACAAAATCCTCTTCAACCTTTTTTTTTTTTTTTAATCTTGAGAGAAGTGTTGCCTTAATCCTTTTTCAGCGATAGTGTCAGCGACATAGGACCAGGTGAAAGTTAATCACTACATTTGCCCTACAGAAAATTACTTTTATCAAAGGTATTAACATGTTATTAAATCTCGATCTATTCATGAAAATAACCCAATCTGGTGCCTACCGGTAATTATCTTGATCCAAAGATCATTGCGATATAAAAAGTTCGGTTACCTTCATTGCATGGGAAGGAGTGTGAATTAGCATTTGTTAGACTATTTAAGTTTGCATAATTTGTGTGACATCGGTCATTGAAAAAGCCAGATATTTACACTTCCAAATAATGAAAAGGGTTGGCCAAAGTTCTGAGCCATGTGGATATGCGAAGACTTTATGAAATGGCCGAGTTCAGTTGGGGGCATGGGTGGTAATCAGTGTTGATGAGTAGACAGTGGAAACACAATTTGGTTGACCAATGTGCAGCCTTGACAAGACTGTAACCTTAACTGAACTGAAATTCTGGTTCAAGGTTTGCTACTTTTCTTCATTTAACCCTTGAGACGCCTTAACATTTGGTGAACATTTTAGCTCTGAAGTTCTATATATGGTCCCCATTGTAAAAGTGTTGAAATACTTCATACAAAAAATATTTTTTGTACATCAGATCTTTTCAGTAACTTTCGACCTAAGTAAAAACATACATTTTTTATGTTCTGCTTTTATGCCCTTTGTGTGTCATAACAACCATTGTTTTATTTGAAGGGATAAACACAAAATATGTATTCCCCCCCCCCCCCCACACACACACACACACACACACCAAAATAAGTAAATTCAAAGATTGATGGTGGGTCACTAATTCATAACATCACTGATTTTTATGCTTTTTTTTTCAAAAAAACACTAAAACTCTTAAAGAACACAAATGGTCCCTGTTATAAAAGTTATGGCAGTTAAAAAAAAAAAAAAACTCACACTGACTAAAGTCCCCAGAGACCATAAATGGCCATCGTTATAAGTGTTGAAATAATTAATACACTAGATCTTTTTTTACTTTCAACACATACATTTTTTCAGTCACTTGCGATGTAATGATGCATAGAAAGTTTTTTTTTCATGATGTTAGGACCTTTTTCTCATAACAACCAACTCTTTTTATGAAGGGATAAATACAAAAAAAATGTAATATTTCAAAAAAAAACACGTTTTAAAGTGGAATAATTGAGATGCTTTTGCTAGTCAGTAATTCATAACACCACTGACTTGAATGCATTTTTTTTTTTTTTGGAGCAATGTCAGTTTATTTCAGGAAACTCACACTGAAGCTCTTGGGGATGAGAAATGGACTTGCTCATCAAAGTGTTTAAATATCAAATATAGGAGTATTTTCTTCAACACTTCCACTTTTCAAAAAGTTCAGTCCGAAGTTGATAAACAAGGTTTTTTATTTTTTTGGTTGAATTACAGCCTCAAATAGATCAATAACCAAGATTTTGATGCAGTGAAATTTTATTTCAAAACACAGGGATCGACACAAAGTTTTGATGTGTATAAATGAGGTGAGGATGAGGCAAGTACAGCCTTCAAGAGATCAATGATTCATGTCACTCATTTTGATGCAACAGGAATTCATTGAAAACAGATGTAAAACAAAACATGCACAACGCCAGTTGAATCTGAAGACAAAAGATTGACACCTGATCAATAGAACAATTCCACTGAATTATTTTTTTACCACTTTAATTTCTAATTATAATTTCAATTTTTAAAAAATTGAAATTATATTTTATGATTGTGCATTTTGCATGCAAGTCATCCACATTTGGTGCACTGCGGTTGCGAAGAGGAGTTTTAGGTTCAGTCAATCACCTTGGAGCAAAGAAAAAAGGGAAATTAGTACAATGACGAGTGAGAATGTTCAGCACATAAACATTCCAATTTCCATTCAGCAACACAGTTTTAGTGCCCGTAACAAATAATACTGATCACATAATCACACAGCGGCGCCACTGCCACCATTCTTCCCTTGAGCTCTGATCATCCAAGTAGTGCTCAGCCTTTCGAATGCAACGCCGGGATAGTACTGTATTTCTAGTAACCTAGTGACATCTTTTTTTAAATCCAACAATATTAATATCATGATATAATTTGCAATACGCCTTTGTCGTAAGCAACACCCTTTGTCACGTTATGTTTCAACCATTCATCACAGACAATTCCCAACAAAAATATTGATTTTGACCAGTGATTTTGACAAATACAAATTACAATAATAATAATAATAATAATAATAATAATAATAATAATAGTCTACAGCTACTACTGAATGAAATAGCAAGCAATTGATGCCTAATTGTGCTTACCCACTATAGGTGGTCCATAGTCCCTTAGCATGTGTTGTCATCCAGGATGTTCTGAAGATTTTGCATTTCCAGCTGTTGATCACAACACATCGCAACACCAACATCTTGAGTCCCTTCTGAGTGCGCGCCTCATCACGTGCAGGACTTGGGAGAGCACAGGTTTTCCCAATCTCGATCTCCCAAGTGTTGTCCACCTCTCGATCCTCTTTCCTTTTCATCCTTCTTCTGAAACCAAGCTCATGGCCACTTGTCAAGTCAAGTCAAGACACTGAAATGCAGGGAGAGAGAGAGAGGAGACACTGCGGGTACCCGCGCCGCCATCATCATTGTGTGATCAGAGTTAATGCTTCCCCCACCTCTCATGCCATTTTGGAGGAGTCAGCACTAGTGAGAGCCTCGACCGCATGCAATAACTGCACGACTGCTTGCCTTGCCTCTTGTAAGACAAGCCTTGCTTCCTGGGAGTTGGCTTGAAAACAAGCAGCGACACTCCACTTCAAACTTAAACTTCTCTTGCAGACTTGAAACGTGCACGTGAATGCACTTGCTCAGCCACGTAGATTTCCAGTGTTAAAAAAGAAGAGCTGAAAAGGAAACTCCATATTGCTTCAGTGGCAGAACATGCAGCTGCATGGCAGGAGGCCACCCTTTGATCAATGTAAACAACCAACATAAACAAAAGGGGCCATTTGGCCTTTCTTGATTTGCTTTAATGAGTTTCACACCCAGGCACACCCACGCTCACACAAAATTTCACCTTGACCACATTCACACCAGTTGTCCACATCATGCCCAACTCACCAAGATATAGTTTTCATTCTATTTACGTTTTTTTTTTTTTTTATATATAAGCTACTATACGGTGCTACCTTGTGATTTAGGGGGGACAAAATACCTTTAAAAAAACAAATATCCTTGTATTTTAAAAGATTATGAATAGGTTTGTTCAGTTTTCATGAAAAAAAGCATTTGGATGGGAGTGTATAGCTAATGAAAATCTCTTACTTCTAAAAGGTTTGCAATAGCGACGTGAAAGTCCATTTAAAGAATGTCTTGTTAAAAGCTCCGTAGCCCAAATTCAGCCTGTTAACTTTTAAACTGAACGATCTGTGGACTATTAAAAAAAAAAAGAAAATCCAGAAATGCACCATTTATGGTCCAAGGTGCCTCAATTAACGGCCCCATACAGTTCCCAGAAAGAGAATTTTGTGAACACCCATAATATTACTATAATTGAATCAGATTGGGCCCTACAAATTAATTATTTTAAGGACTGCAAGACGTCATGGAAGTTCAGTGGAGACAAAGAGAAAAGAACGAAGAATATCGGCTTGGGTTTCAGTCTAATCGGGATCATGTACACAACATGTGCAGACTCGTGTTGGCACGTATGTTGGATTAATCAGTGGCCCGGAAACTTTCCCGTGCGTACAGGAGGAATTTTCAGCACCCAGACCCCGGCCTACATTGACTCTGCTAAACATCGAACTTTTTACTGCATAAACACTCACTTTCAAAAATTGGGGTCAACTTGCACCAGAGCGCTGTCAAACAAAGTGACCCCATAATGATTCAATTGCGTTGAGCGTTCACGTTGTGATTCTGCAGATTTCTGACTACTAACTAGTCCTGATTGAAGCCTAATTTATGTCAGAAGTCATTGCTGTTCAACATTCCACGGTTTCAAAGCCAAGGAGGGACAATTTGTCTGCACATCGCCGATGGATTATTTTGGTTTTACATTTTAATTCTCGCACACACACTCTCGCATGGTCAATATATATATATTCCAATATATTTTCAAAGCATTTATCAAGCCTTATTCTTGATCGTCTGTGGGGGTGCACTGTTCCCCAGTGCCGGTCCCAAGCCCGGAGAAATGGGGAGGGTTGCGTCAGGAATGGCATCCGGCGTAAAACTTTTGCCAAGACGACCATGCGAGTTGGTAGGACGGTTTACAGGGGCGGATGGAAATTACTGACTCGCTGTGGCGACCCCTGAATAGGGACGTGCCGAAAGGAAAAGAAGAAGAAGAAGATTCTTGATCGTCTGTCTTTTGCCAATGTTCGGTTGGGATGTAACAATACTGAAACAATATTACGATATGATGTCACGATATGAACCGCACGATAAGATGAGTATCACTACACTGTGAAGGGGTTGAGTTGATGATATTAAAAAAAAACACATGATGCTGGATAAAAATGCACAGTATTGTAAAACAACAAAAAACCTCATGATATTAAGAAGAAAAAAAATTAAAGCACAATATTGTGTTTTTGTACATGAAAACATCAGTGACCAAAAACATCATTTTATTTGTCATGTGTTCATCAGCTTGCTAATTACATGTTGCATGTAATTTACAATGCTGTGTTCTGCTTCAGTGAAAAGTAACGCTTGACCGCGACTTGCTGCTTTTAATTTGGGAACCTGATGACAATGGTAATGTGGCAATTATAATATTGTAATATCAGCATTACATTCCTAACATTCAGAGCAAGTGATGTTACTCAACATGATTGAGCCTTGTCAATGTATTTCTTTTCATGTGTGCACACATGGATATAGTATGATTTGGTTTTCAGAATGGATTCCAGATTCAACTCAAAAATACAGCATACATGAATTATTTGCTAGAACTGTAATCATTGTGATCAATTATAAAGAAAACATATTGAAAATGTGTCAAGCATTCAGGCAAATGCCAGCGAATATAATGTGAAATAAATATCATCGAGAATTAAATTGTGACTCTTTTTCCTTTTCTTAATTATACATATACGTTTAGTTTCGCAGTAGGTTATGCAGATTGGGGACAATGATATGCATGTAGCCTTTGATAATAATGTGACTTTTATCAGTGGCCAAAAGCATAAACAACAACACCATGTGCAAAAGTGAGAACAAAACGGCACGCGCCTTGTTTCATGCCAGAAAAACGGAGAGGACTATCAGCTGTATTGTGTTATTCTGTGTTGAGGATGCTGCATTCACATCGATGTAATTCCACCTTTATTTTTGTTCCTATTCCAACTTCAAATTGTACAGCTCATTCCATTCCAGAAATTCCCTAAATTCTGAAAATAAATGCCACACAATTTCCCAGAACTTTGCATACCATTCGACCATATTCTCAATTCCAAATCATTTCACATAATTATTTATTATTAAACATAAATCCATAACATTCTGCATCATTTCACTATTAATTCCATAGCATTTCCAGCTTTTCAGCATTCACACTCCAGATATTGGGTGATTGAGTTAAAAAAATGTGATACAACACATACTTTGTACATTTCAAATCAAATCCCAGTTCAACAATTTATGCCAGCTAGTGAATCTGAGGTGAACCTCATAGGCAAGTGACACTTCGAAAAATATATCACTGAATACCGGTATTTTGTTTTTAAGTATTTGGAACTATCCAGCCATCCATTTTCTGATCGATGACAAGGGTCGCGGGGCGTGCTGGAGCCTATCCCAGTTGTCTTCAGGCAGCAGGCGAGGTACACTCTGAACTGGCCAATCATCAACGTACAACCATTTGCACTCATAATCACACCTCAGGACAATTAACGTACCATGCATGTTTGCGAAAAGTTCGGAGGAAACCAGAGTACCCGGAGAAAACCCACGCAGGCACAGGGAGAGCATCGAATTTCCACACAGGAAGGCCGGCGCCGAAATCGAACCCCCGACCTCTGCACTGTGACATGGGTGTGCTAACCAGTCGGGCACCAGGCCCCCTGCATTTGGCTGTATTTCATTTTATTTAAAGGGTCATATCATGCTGTTAAGCTTATATATTTATTATCTGTTGTACAATGACTCATTTCTTATTAAATCTGAGTTATTTTGGTGGCTACTTTTTGACCCCAGAAGCAAGATGCCTGATTCACGTGTCAGGTTAAAACCCCGGCTCTTCCCATGTGGCTGCTGCACCCTTTTCATGACGTCCTAAAACTGGTTGCTGCGTGCACCACTCACAAAAGAGAAATAAACAAATATTATTACTCGGCAAATTTGTGCCGCAATTAAATTTGTCACATACTACCCCACATCGCACACCACTCCAAACTCACTGTTCTTCATTTGATCACCGCTCCGAGTTGATGGTTCATCGTCTCCACTCTGCGGGGTTTGAAGCCGGTCAGCGGCTGCCCAAAGCCGCCATCCTTGAGGTGAGAGCCACAACCACCGGGCTGGCGAAGCCGCGGCACCCTGCTCTGGTGGCTCATTCACGTGAATGGGAGCCAGTGTGAGAAAGAAGCCATTTCTCCCCAACTCTGGTGCAAAAATGGAAATGGTTCACTGGTGGCTGCTCTGAGAAAGTGAACCAGGGTTTAGTGTGGAGCGGCAGTACAAAGTTAAGTCCTTTCTGATATCGGAAAGTGAGGACCCAGTTTTTTTCTTGGATTGGGCAGAGCTGCTGCTTAGAGGGGAGGAATGAGCTGGAATGAATGGGTGAAAGTAAGAAAACACAACATTTTCTAGATGTGTGAATGCTAAAAGCAACAAGTGCTTGACCTGCTGGAGATGTTTATTCTTGAAGTGAGTGCCATTATCAGATCGAATTGCACGTGGAAACCCAGGTGTTGGAATGTAATGGCTTTTCAAAATTGTAATCACAGCCCATGCATCCGCTTTACCACGTGCAGAGGCATCGGGCGACTGAGGGTAAACGTCCATTATCACGAGGAGATATTGTTTACCTCTACCTCTATCTATCATGTCAGTGAAGTCAAGAATGACTTCTTCATCCGGACCTGAGATTTTTCTTCACACTATATTGATTAAAGACTTCACACAGAGAAATTTCCTTATGAATCATATCCAAGAGGTGGGGATAATACCAGGATCTTTACCTGTCTGCCACGTTCCTTTTTCCCAAGTGAGCTGGACCGTGTGCCTCCCGAATTAAAACTCTTCAATTTATGTGCCGATAAAAAAAAAAAAACAAAAAAGCAATATAATCTCTGGCTACACTGTTTAATTGGATAACCAGTAGTTCTTCTTCTTCTGGAATGCCCTATCTTGATCTGCAAGAAGGTGGTTAATGTCCAAAGCATACATTTTCCCATCGGTGATTCCACTACAGTGAAACTCCTCTAGAACGAAACCTACATGGGCGAAAATACCCCCTTATGTGAAAAAATCTTCATGCATTAACGCAATTCCCATTCTGCTGCCCCCCATATGACGAAATCCCCCCTGTTGCGTTGTACGAAATTATTTTCTCTGCTCCAGCCTCGCAAGACATTCACTACAACGAAGTCTTATCCAACAGCGACCTCTACTTGCTTCGTTCGGAAACGGAAACAGCAACCACCACGTTGGTTTACATAGTGAACTATGTTTATTTCGGTCACAGCTGCGAGTTTCTTGGACTCAACATACTCTAGCTCAGGGGTGGGCAATCCCAGTCCTGGAGGGCCGCTATCCTGCATGTTTTCCATCTGTCCCTGTTGCAACACACCTGATTCAATTGTTCAGGCCTCGACAGAGCTTGCTGATGATCTGATCATTTGAATCAGGTGTGTTGGAGAAGGGACAGATGGAAAACATGCAGGATAGCGGCCCTCCAGGACT